AGTTAATTAGGGCAGTGAGTGCCCTGTAATACTGTGGCCCATCCTGGCTCAGGGACTGGGGGGGACGGGGACGGGGGACAAGAGAGAGAGACCGTCACAGAGAGTGGGGGGTTCGATTCCTACCTTCCGTCACCAAACATGTCACCTTGGGGCCAGGTCAGCTCCGAGGAGACCCCTACCGCCACCCCCCACCCCTCCCTCTCCGGGCGCCCACCCACCCCCCCCCCCACCACCACCACCTCCCACCCCTCGTGTTTGGCAAATAAGTACAGTTCAAAAAAAAAAGTTACAGAAAAGAAAGCTTCTCACTTTATTTACAAACCGAACGCAACAAGTAATTTGACACTCGACAGAGAGAGAGAGAGTTTAACCCTCCGCTCGAGCAGAAATACATCTGATATATATATATATATATATCGCGAGAGAGAGAGAGAGACACTTATACATCTCGTCGAGAGAGAGAGAGAGACACCGCACGTTTAAAGCACTTTAAAGCACACGCACAGACTCGCACACACTCGCGCACACACTGGTCTGTTGATAACACAACTTTTTTTTTGGGGGGGGGACAATAACAGACCCGACCCCTCATCACCACCTTCGAGACGTCTCAAAAGCGCTTCGCGGGACACGCGCACACACACACACACACCTCAGAACCCTGACTCACTCGGTCCCATTCCCTCCCCCTCCTCTCTCCCCCATCCCACGAGGTTGTGAGACCCCCCCGACTCAGCACAGACCAAACCAGACCCCAATAATCTCTGGTCTGCAAATGGGGGCTCAAACCTCCTCTCTGTCACCCCCGCCCCAGCCCACCCAACCCCAGTTTCGTCACTGAATCATCCAAAGAGTGTATATACACACACAGACTCATATACACACACAGACTCATATACACACACACAGACCGGGCTGACATTCCCGACTCTCTAACCTACGGCTCCTTCAAATAATAACAATAATAATTCTTGCACTTGACCCGGCGCCCGATCACATCGTCGCGACGTCTGAAAGCGCTTCACAGGACACACCGTGAAGTGTAGTGACTGTGTATTGTTGTGGGCGAAACGCGGCAGCCGATCGCGCCCGGCGACGTCCCCACAAACAGCCGCGGGGTTGAAGTGACCAAATTATTATTATTGTTATTATTGCTTTGAAGGGATGATTACCCCCGGAAAGTGATCCCCCGATCGCCTGACAGGCGGGTTCCTACTGACTGCCGGGGACGCAGGCGTGTGCGCGCGCGAGTGTGTGTCTGTGTGTGTGTGTCTGTGTGTGTGTGTGGGGGGGTCTGTATGTCTGTGTGTGTGTGTGTGTGTGTGTGTGGAGTAAGGAAACTTGCCTAAGGTTTCGAACCCGGGCCCTCTGGCTCGCGAGGCGAGGGCTGGAACCCCTGAGCTACAGCTCTCCACGTTATAGCTTCAACAACAGAAAACACACGGCTTTGAGAGGTTGGCGGCTCAACACACGGCGCACACACACACACACACACGCACACACACTGCTCTGTCTAGCCAGAGCCTAGCCAGAGCCTTGCCAGAGTCTACCCAGTCTAGCCAGAGTCTAGCCAGCCCCTCGCAGTCACAGATAGCAAACACAAGAGTCCAGTGAATGACCACTATATACACTCACACACCCACACAGAGACACACACACACACACACACACACAGACACAGACAGCACTTCCCTCCCACTGAGGTGACGGACGAGCGCGGCCTCGTCTCCATCCTGTTGGCTGAAGGTTGTAATCATCTTTGTCTTTAAAAAACGGGGGAGAGAAAAAAAAAACCCTTTCACTGCAAAACGAACCGTTCTCCCCAACATCGCCCCCTGTGCCCCCCACCCCCCACCCCCAGTTAAAGGGGCAGACGCGGAGCTCGTTCCCAGAGCCTCGGACGGACAGACAGAAATCTGACACCAGTCCAGTCTGGTCTCCCCCCCTTTCGCTCAGCGGCTGTTGGCGTCTTAACACACGGCTCGGCGATGATGGGGGGGGGGTGGGCAGGGGCAGGGGGGCAGCAGGGGGTGGGGGGTGGGGGGGTCTGAGGCAGGAAGCTCATTACACTGCGAGTCGCTTCTTAAACAAGAGCCGGTCTGTGTGGGCCGCGGCCGGCGGTGTCGGCTCCCGGTTGGTGGTCGGTCGCTGTGTCGGTCGACGCTGGGGCCGGACGTTAGCGAGTGGCTGGTGTTGACGAGGAGCAGAGACGCGTCCGAACCCCGATACTTCTCCCGCGTGTCCCGCGACCCCCCCTCTCCTCGCTTGCTGGAGGCGACCGGAGAGAGAGAGAGAGAGAGAGGGGGGGAGAGAGCGAGAGTCACTGTGTTTGGTCCGCAGTCTAATCAATCCAGTCTCGGCTTCAGGAACCATCCAAAGGGTGTTGTCGTTGAGGAGATCTTCAGTGCGGGGGGTGGGGGGGGGCGGGGGGGGGGGAAGAGAAAAAAAAGGGGGCAGAACGGCAAGACGTAGAGAGAGCCCCCCCTCTCCCCCCTCTACGTCACTCTTGAACTCAACTATTTTGAGCGGGGAGGGAGGGGTGGGGGGGCGGGGGAGGGGCCAAAAGAACCATGACACAAAAAAAGGGGGAAAAGAAAACAAACCCCCCCCCCCCCCCCACCCCACACCCCCCAAAATACAACCTTTCTTTCAACCAACAGGATAGAACACAGTGCTTTGCGGTGATAATCTTTTAACATAGAAAGACAGGAATAACCTTCTCTCTCTCTCTCTCTCTCTCTCTCCCCCCCCACCACCGCCCCCCCCCCCCCCCCCCCCACACCCCCACACCCCCACACCGCGCACACACACTCCGCCGAAGAAACTCCGTCCACCGAATCGAGTCAGCGACGCGCCAGGTTGTTCGGGAAACGAAGGCAAACTGACCGCTGGTTACCGGTGGGTTGGGCGGTGGAGGTGGTGGTGGTGGTGGGGGGGGGTCTCGATTCCAATGACACCCAGTTGCCAAACGCGTCGCCTTGGGGCCGGTCGAGCTCCGAGGAGGTCGGGGGGAGAGAGATTGCAATCGCAGATAGTGCTGTCAGGTGCGGGGAGAGTTTTTTTTTGGGGGGGGGGGGAGGGGGAGGGTGGGGGGCGGCAGATCTGAACCCAAACCCCTTCAGGTCCGCGTTTGGCCGCAAACCGCACCTCGTTCAACGGACCTTTTAATGAGGAACCATCTTCCGGTTTTGTTGGGGTTTGACCCCCGAGATCGCCCGGACACTGACACTGTCGAGCACTGGTGGGGTTTGGGGTTGAGCTGGGGTCAGGGGGGGGGGGGGGCCGCAGGAGGTTAGTGTCGGGTTGAGGGGGGGGGGGGGGGGGGAAGATGGTTCCACTTTAACAAACTAACAACAACGACGACAGAGACTTTCAGGGATTGGGGCCACACACCCAGAATAGCACTGCACAACCAACTCTCACCCTCACACCCCCCCCACCCTCACAAAGCCCCCCCCCCCTCCCCACACCCTCACACACACAGCCCCCACCCCACCCTCACAGCCCCCCCACACTCACACACAGCCCCCACCCCACCCTCACCCCCCACCCTCACACACAGCCCCCACCCACCCTCACAGCGCCCCCCACCCTCACACACAGCCCCCACCCCACCCTCACAGCCCCCCTACCCTCACACACAGCCACCCCCCACCCTCACCCATCCTCACACACACAGCCCCCCCACCCACCCTCACACACACAGCAGCCTCGACCTTCAACCCCACCCGCCCCCCCCCCCCCCACACGCAGTCGACCTTCACCCCCCCCCCATACCCACAACGCCAGACCTCGAACTCCCCCCCCACATGCACAGCCCCGAACGCGCTCTCGACCATCAACCCCCACCCCCACCCCCCGCCAGACCATTAACACCCCCATACACACAGCGCTCTCGACCACTAAACCCCCCCCCCCCCCCCACACACACACACACTCGAACTTCGCCCCCGCCCCCCCCAGTGCCCTCAATCAATAATCACCCCTCCCCACCCCACCAACACACAGCGCCCTCAGCCACTTACCCTCCACACACACACAACCCTTGACCATTAATGCCCTCCACCCCCCCCACAGCCCCCCTGACCCACTGGTCGGCAGCCCAGACACTGAGAACTGCTCTGATCTCTGAGCTGAGACCAAACTATCCGCAGCTACAGCCCCAACTACAGCCCCAACTACAGCCCCAACTACAGCCTCAGCCCCAACTACAGCCCCAACTACAGCCTCAGCCCCAACTACAGCCTCAGCCCCAACTACAGCCCAACTACAGCCTCAGCCCCAACTACAGCCCCAACTACAGCCTCAGCCCCAACTACAGCCTCAGCCCCAACTACAGCCCCAACTACAGCCTCAGCCCCAACTACAGCCCCAACTACAGCCTCAGCCCCAACTACAGCCCCAACTACAGCCTCAGCCCCAACTACAGCCCCAACTACAGCCTCAGCCCCAACTACAGCCCCAACTACAGCCCCAACTACAGCCTCAGCCCCAACTACAGCTCCAGCCACAGCGACACTCGTTCAACAGCCACTCTCCCTCTCTCTCGCTCACTAACTCGCACTGAGGCTGTACTGGATTAAACACACAGTTTACAAACATAAAGAGAATTAAAGGCTGAATTCTAAGCAAAAATAAAGACGGGATAATAATAACAACAACAACAATACTAATATAACCCTCGCACCGGATACAGTGCCTTTTCACGTCTTTCGATGCGCCTCAAAGCGCTTCACAGACTGCAATATAGAGTGTAGTGACTGTGCATTCTGTGGGCGAAATGCGGCAGCCGATTGGGGGGGGGTCTCTAGGTTTGCTCTCTCACAGCTCTTTTACTCACTATGTTTCTCTCTATTTACACGAACGAGCTCAGCTTCCCTCTCTAACCTGGAAAACAAGTCAAGTCGTTCCTATCCGACACATCCTCTTATCTTCTCTTGTCTCAATCCCTTACCCTATACCCTCTCCACCCCCTGAAAACCCCCTTCCCTCACACACCCACCCGTCCCACCCACCCCAACAACACACGTCTCTACATCGGTGGAAAAAAAAAATACACCTGATTTTTAATCGAACGTCTACACAGTTTGACATCGGAAACTGCGGCTCCACGAGTTTAGCTAAAAAAAATCATCTGAGGCTGAGTCACACTTAATACTTGTCAATAGCAACAGCCCGGACAGGTTTGTGTGTTATTAAAAAAGGGAGAGAACGAGAGTGAGAGAGTGAGGCTCACACACACAGACCCTCGGATGTTGGGGGAAAGCCTTGGGGCTGGAGTTCGGGAGCAGTTGCCCTCCCGCCTTCACAGCTGCCTCATGAACGCCACCTCAGGGATTTTGCCCTCGGCCTGAAAGAGAGAAATTCAAACAGACAAAAAACAGAGAGAAAGCAAAAGGAAAAAAAACGATTGAGAGATCGAGGGGCGGGAGAGGGAGGGGGAGGGTGGGGGGAGAGAGAGGGAGGGGGTGGGGGAGAGAGGGGAGAGAGGGGCATCAGCGTTTAGAGAAAATTCTGCTCATAATAATAGTAATAATAATAATACAGTAATAATAATAATAATCATCTTTGCATTTGATACAGCGCCTTATCGCGTCGTCTCAAAGTGCTTCACAGGTAACACTGTTTAAGTGGAGTGACTGTCTCTCTGGAGGGACGCTCCCTGCTGACCTAATTCCGGAGAGTATTAGGTGCAGGTTGGGCGACAGCCAAGGCTTCGGGGGGGGGGGGGGGGGGGGAGGGGGAAAGCCCAGATGTGTGTTGGGGGTAACTCCTGGGGTCTAACCGGCTAAACCCACACCCAGCTCGGCCATCGAGAGAGAGCGCGAGGGCTGTCGGGCAGCTTTCCCGCTGCATGTCCAGCCCGGACCCCCCTCCCCGCCAGTTAGTTAGTTGGGGCTTTGGCTGTGGGGTTACCAGGAGCTGAGGGGGAGGATTCTCTGCCCCCAGTGACTGGTCGGCCCTTTCCAGGTCCTCCCGTGTCTGAGCCGGGCCGGGCCGGGCCGCCATCAGCAGCGAGTGCCCTGGGACCCTGTGGCCCCTCCGGGCTCGGGAACCGGGGGCTCGAGACCCTCACAGAGTGGGGGGGGGGGGGGAAGGGGGCTCGATCCCCACATTCCATGGGCAAACACGTCACCTTTGGGTCAGTTCAGCTCCGAGCAGACCCCGATTACCTCCCCAGCCCACAAGGAGGACAGGAGGAGCAATGGAAAGCAAGTGATTTTTTTCACAGACACAGACTCTCACACACCCACAGACTCTCACACACACACACACACACACACAGACTCTCACACACACAGACTCTCACACACACAGACTCTCACACAGACTCTCACACACACAGAGACACAGCTGCACAAACTAACCTTCAGTGTAGTGAAGACTTGCGCCGCCTGATTGAAGTCCCAGTCGTTATCTTGCAAACACCTGGACAAGGGCAGAGGGGTCAGCGACAGCTACAACAACACACTTACACAGCCCCCTTCACGTCAGGACGTCCCAAAGCGCTAACAAGCGGGTTCCCACTTATTGCTGGTAAACAGAGGCGTGTGTGTCTGTGTGTGTGGTGTGTGTCTGTGGGGAGTAAGGAAACTTGCCTAAGGTTTCGCCCTGTCCCTGCCCGGCCAGGAATTGAACCTGGGTCCTCTCGCTTGTGAGGGGTCTAACCCCTGAGCTAGAAGGGCTGTGGCTTGCGAGGCGAGGGGTGTAACCCCTGAGCTACAGGGATTTCAGCTTTTATCGGGGTTTATGTGGCTCCATTGGGTTTCTATTTGCTGCTGGATATCGAGGCTTCTCGAAGACGTGATGAGGGTCTACATCAAACACAAGGATGATTATTGTTATTGTTATTAATGACCGTGTAGAGACAGGAAGCCGCTGAGAGCCACTCACTTCTGTGACCACTCGATGTTCATGCCGGACTGCAGAGAGAAGGCCTGGAGCATCTCCTGTTGGGGGGCAGCGAGGGTGGGCACTGGGCTGCTGGAGGGTGTGGGGGCCGGGGTGGCAAATGCCTTGCGGATCTCCTCTGTGGTGGCGTTTCTGATAAACAGCTGGTCATTCACGATACACAGCCTGAGGGGGAGAGAGGGGGAGAGAGAGGGAGAGAGGGGAGTGGGGAGAGAGAGGGAGGGGGGGAGAGAGAGGGAGAGGGGAAGAAAGAGGGAGTGGACGAACAGGAGAGAAATGCTAAATTCTCAGCGCATCTCTGCGGTGTTGTTAAATTAAAAAAATTAGCCCGAATTTTTTTGTGTGTGATGATCAGTGTGTGTGTGTGTGTCTATCTGTCTGTCTGCGCGCATGTGTGTGTCTGTGAGGGTATGTGTGTGTGTGTGCGCGTGTGTGTGTGTGCGCGCGTGTGTGTGTGTGTGTCTGTGAGGGTGTGTGTGTGTGTGTGCGCGTGTGTGTGCGCGCGCGTGTGTGTGTCTGTGAGGGTGTGTGTGTTTGATGTGTTCACCCTTGGAGCGCCAGCCTTACCCTGCGTTCTCAGCGGGCACAGCCACGAACACTCGTGAGAAGGCTCTCACAGAATCTCGCGATTTCCCGTCAACTAAAGAACAGAAACGAACAAAGAGAAAAACGTCACTTTCCAACCCCGGTAACTAACGGCTGGAACATAAATCACCAGGTAATCAGCGGCCCTTACCTTCCTTAAACACCCCGTACACCGAGAAACACAGTAGTGTGTGCTGAAAGACAACAGACAAGTGGTTAGCTCACTGTCATGTCAATTCTACAGCCAATATCCGGACACACACACACACAGGGTCAGCCTTGCACTTAGAGCAGCGCCTTTCTTGTCAGGAGGACGTCTCAAAGTGCTTCACATTACATATTGTAAAATGTCGTGACTGTGCATTTGTGGGTGAAACACGGCAGCCAATTGTGCACAGCAGCGGCCAACGAACAGTCGTGGAGTGAGTGACCACATATTTTTTTCGAGGGATTATTACCCCCAGAAAGTGATCCTCCCAATCGACTAACAGCCAGGTCCCCGCTGACTGCTGGGGAACAGGCGTGTGTGTGTCTGTCTGTGTGCGCGTGTGTGTATGTGTGTGGGGAGTAAGGAAACTGCCCTACGGCTTTGCCCTGACCTGACCCTGCCCGGCGGGGAATTGAAACCGGGTCCTCTGGCTTGCAAGGTGAGCGACCTAACCCCCGAGCTACAGGGGCTGTGGGGTGCGAGGGGAGGGGTCTAACCCCTGAGCTACAGGGGCTGTGGGGTGTGAGGGGAGGGGTCTGACCCCTGAGCTACAGGGGCTGTGGGGTGGGGGCGAGGGTCTAACCCCTGAGCTACAGGGGCTGTGGGGTGGGGGCGAGGGGTCTAACCCCTGAGCTACAGGGGCTGTGGGGTGGGGGCGAGGGGTCTAACCCCTGAGCTACAGGGGCTGTGGGGTGGGGGGCGAGGGGTCTAACCCCTGAGCTACAGGGGCTGTGGGGTGCGGGGCGAGGGGTCTAACCCCTGAGCTACAGGGGGAGGCTCTTGGTTTGGGAACAGGCAGCGACACAAACAGACACAAACCACACACACTGGGAGGTGAACAAGTTGTGGCAAGTGAAGGAAATCAGGGAGAGAGACAGACGAGGAAATAAGACATTAGTGGACGAGGAAGAAAGAATTTAACCCCCAATAACGACAGAGATTCACACATTTAGCAACAGCCGTCTGTCCCTTCACAACAATAACAACCCAACAACACACGGCATTCCCCCAGCGCCTGCCTTCCCCGTCAGGAGGGAGGACGGCCCAAGGCTCTGGACAGTCAGGGATTTGGACCCGAGCTGAACAGGGGGTTGGGATCAGGAGGGGGTGGAGGGCGGGGATGAGGGGCAGGGAGGGTGGGCGGGGGGGGTGGGGGGTTGGAGGGTGACCGAAGGCGCAGTCGGTCGAAGAGGGTCTTGAGATGGGCCTTGAAGAAGGGAGGGAGAGGGACTGTGGGATGGAGTTCCAGAGGGTGGGGGCAGAGAGGCGATGGTGGGGGGGGGGGGGCCGGGCGAGGCGGGGGGACGTGGAGCAGGCGGAGCCCGCTGAGCGGAGGGAGAGTGGACAGGATGATATGGGGTTCAGCAGCTCCCAGAGGTAGGGAGGGGAGCCAGGCCACGGGGGGGCTGTGAAGGTGAGGAAGAAGACCTTGAACTCTACCCCCCCCCCCCCCCCCCCGACCCCGATAGCCACCGGCTTACCGTCTGTGTGCTGACGTCCAGCACGAAGGAAGCGATGTCGTGCTGGGTCTTGGGCAGGTCGTTCAGGAAGGCCACGACGTTCAGCCTGGTGTGCTTCAGCAGCTTGGAGCGCAGCGCTGTCAACAACCACAGCCGTCAGCAACGAGACCCCCCCCCGCATGGCAGCCCCTCGCGGCTGACCCCGCCCCGCCTCGCGGCTCCCAGACGCCTCAAAGCGCTTCGCAGGACACGCCGTGGGGTGTAGGGACTATGCGACTGTTTGCCCGTTGAGCTCTGGTCAGCGTGACCTCGGAGCGGAGATCGATGACCGGGGCCATGGCGGGAGTCGCAATGTCTATACGCTTGGTTTACATGGAGCCCGAGCCCGAGCCTGAGGAGCCCGAGCCAGAGGAGCCGAGCCGAGAGAGACTGTGGAACCCGCCAGTTACTGACCTTGATGCCCAGGATGTGTGTGCCAGCTCGGACCAGCTCCTCTGCCAGTTGCAGGTAGTAATCGAGGGAGTACTTTGTGCGAGAGGGGTCACTGACGTCCCCGGTGTAGGAGATCGCTGCCTCGACCACACCTCCAGCGTTCCCCGCTGACTCCATCCCCAGGATCATGTTGGGCAGGTAGTTCAGGGAGTCAAACACTCGGAAAATATCCATCCCGTTCTCTTTGGCCACTTCACAGAACCTGAGCAGCACAACATCATCGTAACAATCCTTACATCTGATCACGTCGTCGAGACGTCTCAATCCGCTTCACAGGAGTGGGGTGGGGAAGGGTGGGGGCAGGGTGAAGTGGGCAGGATGGGGGGGGCAGGATGGTGTGGGGTCAGGGTGGGGGGGGCAGGATGAGGGGGGGCAGGATGAGGGGGGGCAGGGTGGGGGGGGGGGGCAGGTGGGAGCGTGCCCCTGTGGGTACTCACTTGGCCACAGCGTTGTCGGGGTAGTTGGTGTACCCCACGGCGTTGGCCCCCCGCAGTAACATCTGGAAGGGGATGTTGGGGATCAGTTGCCGCAGCTCCTGCAGCCGCTTCCACGGGCACTCGTACAGGAAGCGCATCGCCACGTCAAAGGTGGCCCCTGTCAGCAGCCAAACACAGGCCCCGTCAGCCCCCGGGGGACACAGAGAGACACTGAGAGACACCGTCAGGACCAGGAGAGACTGAGAGATACCGGGAGACACCAGGAGAGACTGAGAGATACCGGGAGACACCGGGAGAGACGGAGAGATACCGGGAGAGACTGAGAGATACCGGGAGACACCGGGGGAGACGGAGAGATACCGGGAGAGACTGAGAGATACCGGGAGACACCGGGAGAGACTGAGAGATACCGGGAGACACCGGGAGAGACTGAGAGATACCGGGAGACACCGGGAGAGACTGAGAGATACCGGGAGACGCCGGGAGAGACTGAGGGATACCGGCTGCTGCGTTTCGCCCACAAAATACAATCACTACACTTCACAGTGTGTCCCGTGAAGCGCTTTGAAAACGTCTCTCGATGACCCGATAAGGCGCCGGGTCAAATGTGAGGGTTGTTATTATGTCACGTAGCACTTCACGCGGCTAAAGAGGAGTGACCGTGTACTCTGCGGCAGCCGATTGACACACAGCGACGTCCCACAAACAGCCACGGGGTGAACGGCCAATTTATACACTTAATAAAAACACGCACGGTCACTACGCCTCGCAGTAAAACCCTGCGAAGCGCTCTTGAGACCTCCTCCGAGGCGAAAGGCGCGGGATCACACTGTAAAGGATTATCATTCAGTGTCGGTGGATTTTGAGTACAAAAAAAAAATAGCTTTGAGGGCCAGGAATCCAGGTCAACTCACTGTGTTTCAATAATATTCTCTCTCAGTCATTCCAAACATGTCACTGCCTCGAAAGACATCAATACCCTTAGTTTTATATATATATATATATATATATACACACACACATAGGGGAAAAAATCAGTCTCCATGGAAACCTGGTGCAGGGAATATTATATATTTCAACCTCATTACATTCACACTATTACAGACAGACAGACAGACAGACAGACGGACGGACACTTCTGACAGTAAAGACCCAACAAATTAGTGGGTTTGAGACGAACTCCCCCCACTCTCTCCCTGCTCTGAGCTTCTGATAGCGATGGGGATATGCTCGACCGTGTTTTTATTCTCCCTGTGACCCCCAAGTGCGCTGGATAGAGAGAACCACACATTCAGTCAGTTGACAAAAGCATGTCTGCACACACACAGACACACACCCTGGGGCTCACTCCCCCACTGGAGCTCTCTACTCCAACCCCATCCCTGGTCTCTCTCTCTCTCTCTCTCTCCCCATCGTGTCTGTGCTGGGGCTCGCTCCCCCGCTGCAGCTCTCTACTCCAACCCCATCCCTGGTCTCTCTCTCTCTCTCTCTCTCTCTCCCCATCGTGTCTGTGCTGGGGCTCGCTCCCCCGCTGCAGCTCTCTACTCCAACCCCATTCCCTGCTCTCTCTCTCTCTCTCTCTCTCTCTGTGTCTCTCTCCCCCCCCCCGCTGTGTCGGGATATGTCTGGGAGGCCCAGCACCACGTGAGGCCGTGTGAGAAACCGTCAGGGAAGCGATTGAGAAAGGTGAGCCTTAAATACACTTCACAGCAACGTTCCCATGGAGACGGACACACAAAGGCACCAATGTACCACTGGCGGCATTGTTAAGGATGGGAAGAGACGGACCAAATGTCCTTCAACCTGTGCCGCCCTCCCGGCCATTCATATTTACACACAGGGCGGAGGTGGGAGTGCCGCAGAGCAATTCACTGCTGAGCGGGAGCTGAGGGCGGGGGGCGGTGGGGAAGTGGGGGGGGTTGGGGGGGGGGACCCGGGTTTGATAAGAGTTTTCAAACCAAACCGAGGATTCAATTCATCCCAACTCCACAAGGAAACCTCAACAGACAGATTGCTGGAATGGGATGCGCCCCTCTCTCTCTCTCTCTCTCTCTCTCCCTCCCTCCCGCCCCCCTGCTTACCTAATTCCGGAGAGTATTAGGCGCAGGTTTGCTTGTCACTAAGCGTTACAGCGTATCCTGTGAAGCGCTGTGAGACGTCCCAACGACGTGATAAGGCGCTGGGTCGAATGCAAGGATCATTATTCTAAACAATAAACTTAAAATAAGCCTCTCCTCTGCACCCCGCCCCCACCCGCGAGTTGGCTGTAGTTTGACTCTTATTTTAACACCACAGTCATTGAAAAGGACAAAAAGAGAGACTTATCAGTGGACGGACGGAGTGTGAGTGACAAATGATTTCAGTGGGACGAGCACTTTCGTAGCTTGAGTTAATAGGAATAAAATTAGAGTCTGTGTGAGCGGGATACTGCATTGTATGCCAGTGGTTTAAACGCTGAGGATTCTCCATTAAACAGGAATAAAAGCTTCTTCAAAGCTCCTCTTAAACTACTTAGTCTGTATATCAAAGGGATCACACGAGAAAAACAATCAAACCCACATTTACATTTCATAACCTTTTAGTACAAGTGCTGTCTAATTTCCATAAATTATACCCGTGTTAAGTCAGCGTAAATGTACTCAAACCTCTCTCCGTCTCGCTCTCTCTCTCTCTCATCGCAAGGTGAGGAGGAGGCATTTCCAAGTGATAATAATCCTTGCACTTGATACAGCACCTTATCAAAGCGCTTCGCAGGATACGCTGTAAAGTGTGTTTTGTGGGTGAAACGCCTCTCCATGCGGTAACTCGGGCTGCTTCCCGTCTTCTGCCCACCCAGCCCGGCCCACCATCGGCGGGCGGGCATTCAGCCTCTCTGCCCCCATCCTTTGGAACTCCATCCCACAGTTCCTCTGACTCGCCCCCTCTCTTGAGCTGGGGGCTGGGGGCTGGGCTGGGGGCTGAGCTGGGCTGGGCTGGGGGCTGGGCTGGGGGCTGAGCTGGGGCTGGGCTGGGGCTGAGCTGGGGACTGGCTGGGGGCTGAGCTGGGGGCTGAGCTAATAATAATAATAATAATAATAATCCTGCATTTGATATAGCGCTTTTCACGTCGGGAGGACGTCCCAAAGCGCTTCACAGAACACACTGTAAAGTGAATTGACTGTATATTTGTGGGCGAACGCGGCAGCCGATTGCGCACAGCAATGTCCCACAAACAGTCGTAGATTGAAAATGACCAATTTATTATTGTTTTTGGTTTTGGAGGGACTATTATTAGGCTCTGTGTGGAGTAAGGAAACTTGCCCAAGGTTTCGCCCTCTGCCTGGAATTGAAGCGAGTGCTCTAACCACTGAGCTACAGGACTCCACAAAGCTGGGGGCTGAGCTGGGGGCTGAGCTGAGCTGGGGGCTGAGCTGGGTTGGGGGCTGAGCTGGGTGGTGGGGGCTGAGCTGGGCTGGGGTGGGGGCTGAGCTGGGGGCTGAGCTGGGGGCTGAGCTGGGCTGGGGGCTGAGCTGGGGGCTGAGCTGGGGTGAGCTGGGCTGAGCTGGGCTGGGGGCTGAGCTGGGGGCTGAGCTGGGGCTGAGCTGGGGCTGAGCTGGGGGCTGAGCTGGGGGCTGGGTTGGGGGCTGAGCTGGGGGCTGAGCTGGGCTGGGGGGCTGAGCTGGGCTGGGGGCTGAGCTGGGCTGGGGGCTGAGCTGGGGGCTGGGTTGGGGGCTGAGCTGGGGGCTGAGCTGGGCTGGGGGCTGAGCTGGGCTGGGGGCTGAGCTGGGGGCTGGGTTGGGGGCTGAGCTGGCGGCTGGGTGGGGGCTGAGCTGGGGGCTGAGCTGGGCTGGGGGCTGGACAGACACTCACCTCCCCAGTTCTCGATGCTGAAGAGCTTCTGGAAGTTGTGAGCTACGAAGGGGGAGATGTTCTTGAGGTCGTGCGTGCGGACGCGGGTGGCCAGGAGAGACTGATGGGCGTCCCTGAAGGTGGTGTCCATGAGCAGCAGACCCTGGTGTTGCTTCACGGCTTTCGCAAAGCCCTCCGGCCCCTCCCGCAGCAGCACGTCCCGCAACCCCAGAGGAGGGTCATCTGTAACCAGACCAGAGAGAGATCAGAGAGAGATCAGTGTAGCTCCCACACTAGAGTGGCCACACCATCATCATCATCGTTGTCGTCATCATCATCATCATCATAAGCCTTACATTGGATACAGAGCTCACAGGTCTCCCCGATGTCTCAAAGCGCTTCACTGGACACACTGTAAAGTGTAGCGACTGCATATTTTGTGGTCAAAACGCGGCAGCCAACTGTGCCCAGCGACGTCCCCACAAAGGTGGATCACATTTTTAAAACTTTGATTGATTGATTGGTTGACTGATTGGTTGACTGATTGATTGATTGGTTGACTGATTGGTTGATTGATTTGATGAAGCAATTTTTTCCCCGGAAAGGGATCCTCCAACAAGCGGGTTCCTACTGACTGCTGGGAAGACAACGGCGTGCGTGTGGATTCAGCAAGCTTGTCTAAGGTTTCGCTCTGACCGGGAAGCGAAGCCAGGACCTCTCGCTCTAACCACTACACTACAGGATTCTGTAACTATAAGCCTCTCCGTCAAACCTCTCTCCTCTTAAAGGGAACAGTCGGGCTGTCACGAGACCCGTCTGTCACCAGCAGTGTCCAGTCCCTTGGCTTGGACAGACCTCTTCAATGTCACGGCTATTTGATGGGATGTCACGTGTACAATGAGGGGAGATGACCGTAGCCACAGTCAAAGACGAAGGTCTTCAGGTGCGATCTGAAGATAGACAAGGAGGGGGCAGGGCGGAGGGACTGAGGGAGGGAGTTCCTGGGTCTCTGAACTGATAGGAAAGTTCAGTAAAAGCGCACAATTTTAGTGAATGTCTCATGATAATTAGTTCCACTAAAATCAACTGGAAAAACTCATAACAAGAATAATTGAAAACTAGGAGTTCAGTGTGAAACTTATTGAATTATTTACCGCTCTCGTTAAATCGCCATTTGTGGTGAACTTAATCAGAGATCCGTTTAAAGTGATAAAATACAGTTTGTTTCTCCATCTTTTTCTCAGATCTTTAACCCGTTGGAACACAGACAGTCACTGGGGGCAGGGAATCCTCCCTGTTAACCCCGCAAGCCAAAGCCCTAACTAGCGG